TTTGAAAAAATTGTCCACCCATACCTTGACTCCACCACATGTTGCAGCCAGGCACTGACCAGGTATCAGAATATTTTCTTGAGAATTTTGAGCTATGAAGGATGAATTGGAAGTCACCTGAAACTATTATTTTCTTTTGTAATATGTTCAGTCCAGGAATTACTCTTGAGAGTCCCCTGGACTACAAGGAGAACAAACCTATCCATTCTAAAGGAAACCAACCCTGAGTGCTCACTGGAAGGACAGATCCTGAAGCTGAGGCTCCAATACTTTGGCCATCTTATGAGAAGAGAAGACTCCCTGGAAAAGACCCCGATGTTGGGAAAGTGTGAAGGCAAGAGGAGAAGGGGACAACAGAGAATGAGATGGTTGGACAGTGTCACCGAAGTGACCAACATGAATTTGACCTGACTCCAGGAGGCAGTGGAAGACAGGAGGGCCTGGCGTGCTCTGGTCCATGGGGTCACGAAGAGCCGGACATGACTAAATGACTAAACGACAACGACAATACTGTTTTTAAGTAGTTTTTATCCACTGTAAGCTGGTTGGATAGCTCAGTGGTTTAGGCATCTGGCTGTTGAGCCAGAGGTTGGAAGTTTGATTTTTCTCTGTGCCTCCTGGGAGTAGAGTCAGCTTTTGTGGCCTTGGGCAAGCTGCACAATTCCAGGGCACGTCCAGGAGAAGAGCATGGAAAACCATTTCTGAGTATTTGCTACCCAGAAAACCCTGGAAAAGGGACACCATCAGTCAGAATTGACTTGATGACACTCAATCATTATTATTATTATGCACCTTTAAATTAATGAGAAAGCAGTGTACCCAGAAGTTAAATAAACAAACATACTAGTGAAATCACTCTCTTTTCAAATCCATCAACTTATTCTGAATATTTAGATTTTTTAAAAAAATAGCTTATTATACTCATGATTATTTGGCCAAACAGTTCCTCCAGAGTTCTACTTCATCAAGGAAAGGAGCCACTCTCATTACAGTTTTCTATTGGCAGGGGATGGGGATGGCAAACATTAGAGAGGAAAATATATCATCCGTTGTTGTGCTTTGGCTAGCTGACGGATAATAGCTAATTAGCTGCATGATTTACCCATTTCCCCTCATTCAATTCCTCTTGAAACTTGGAGATGAAGTTGTCGATATTGTTAGAGACAGTTTTCAATTAAGAATAAAGATGTCAAGCCCTTTTCTGCCACCACCTTTATAAATATGTCCAAAATGATCCCATATCAATTCCTGCAAAAATATCATCTGTGGAAATGCAATCTGATGTATTGCGGAAAGCAGGTACGAATATTCAGAACATCTCTCATCTGTCTCTTAGACAGCACAATTCTTAGGTTTCAGGACACCATGCCTCGGCCACAAGGTTGATCGACTGTACTCCTCCACGGTCATCAGTGATGCTTTCTATGGTGACTCTGTTTTCAGGTCAGAACTAGCAACTCTTTGTGTGGAAAGGAAGGGGTGTGTTGGAGGATGACAGTGCAGAGGGAGGGCAGCGGCATGGATCTGCTGCCTCCACCACCCTCCTAACCCCCAACCACACGTCACGACACACAGGAAAAGACCGTTCTTAAAGCTGAGCTAATTGTAACTGCTCCTATTGATTCCCAATGGATGGGTTGCTTTTTTACATCAGTATATTTAAGTGCAACCAAGAGTATACAGCTAGGTCTTTTTCCCACTGCTAGTGCCCAGAATAAAAGAGCCTGAAAATATTTGCTTTGATAATCTGTGTGTAAACACTCAGAAAAATTGCTGTTTGCAAACCTGTGCTAATCAGTCCACTTGGAAGCTGTCTTCGAATGGCAGTACTTACACTTCAGCTCCGGCTGAAAGCACTGCATAGGCATGCGGTTCTCCTGACCCCCGCCAGCAGTTCTGGTGCAGACTGCCATTCATCCTGAGCTATCCAATTGCTCTAAAAGCAATTAAACTTTAATTGCTTCACAACAAGGAGGCAGTTCAGAGAGTGAAAGATCAGGTAGGTTAGGGGCAGCAAGGTAGCTATCCAACAGAGAGCACTGCAACTCTAGATGCTGCTTCAGCCTTTTAAAGCGCTAATCACTTGCTACATTTTGTAAATATTCTTGTAGCAGGTGTAACACCCAAAGATGGTCAGGCACACTTTTAGATTCCGACAAACTGTATGAGAAGCAAACATAAATCAAGAACACGTCAATATTTATTCTTCATGTGTATTACAGTGGTGCCTCACTTAATGAGCGCACCGTTTAACGATGAATCCGCATAGCGACACGTTTTTTGCTATCACTAATGCAATCGCATTGTGATGTTTTAGATAGGGAAAACATCGCATTGCGATGATCGGTAAGCATTTCGCTTACCGATCTTCGCATTGTGATGTTTTACAAACAGCTGATCGGCAGTTCCAAAATGGCCGCTGGGTCAACAAAATGGCTACCGGCAGCGTTTTCGCACCCTGCCCTCCCTTACCGGGCGGTGAAAATGCCAGCCAGATGGAGGATTCCCTGCATAGCAGTGAGTTTTTCCCCAATAGGAATGCATTAAACGGAATTTAATGTGTTCCTATGGGTTCCCCCCCGCATAGCGACGAATGCGGATAGCAACGTTAATCCTGGAATGGATTAACGTTGCTATGCGGGGCACCACTGTATTTCATTTGCCCTTCTAACCTCTGAATAGATGCCAGTATTATTCTCTCTATATTGCACATTGTGGATGAAGCCTAGGGGACAGGAGCTTATCCAAGGCAATGTACTGCATACATAAGCAGAGGCAAGACTCAAATCAGGGACTTCCAGGTTCACAGCTCATTCGAACATAGTTCAGGCCCATTGAATGCAATGTATGGGTTTTCATTGCTTTCTCTTTTCTCACTGCATTGAAACAGCACTACGAAGAGCATTAGAGATGCTCAGAGGTCTGTTAGCATTACTGAAGACATACCTACTTTGCCCATTTAAACAGATTCTATAAAAATCCCTTCGTCCCAAGGAACCCTGAAAACATTAATTCCACCAGTGGGATAACAACAATTTATAGCACAGAATTCTCATCATTCTCACCAAACTCTGATGACAGGAATTCCATGGGTTAGCCATGGCAGTATCAAAAAAATGCATATACTGTATAGCATACTGTTTTGTTTATAAAAGATCATTATAGTGTTAGCAAAAGGACTAGCTAAAGGATTGAACTATGAATCAGCAGGAAATGTCTAGTTCATTTAGTTTGCACCTGAAACTTACTGGATGGCATGCCATCCCATCTGAATCTCACATCTAAAAGTCAAAGCAAAGCAAAGTGTACTGCTTATATACCACCCCATAGTGCTTAACGCTCTCTCTAGGTGGCTTACATTTTAATTACGCTGGCTACACATTGACACACACACATACACATGCAACAAGCTGGGTAGTCAATTTACTGACCTTGGAAGAATGGAAAGCTGAGTTAACTTTGAGCCAGATACCTGATGAGCAGTCTTCAGTACAGCACTGCAGTTTAAACACTGTGCAACTCTCAAATGTAAGAACGAAAAGAATTTGCAAGTTTTTCTTCTTCACTGCGTGTGATTGATTATATGAGATTTTGTGCATTTTTTCATGTGAGCACCTTTTCATGTAAAATTCACAAAAATGAGCTTGGTTCAAAAAAAAACCAAAAACCATTTTTTCATAGAAAACCTTATATTTTGCACATAATGCCCTGTGTTTTGCACAGGATTCGGGTTTTTAATGCAAAAGACATTTGTATGCAAAAAACAACAACACTTTTTCTGCAAATGCTGTTGCTGATGGAATAAAAGTGATGTGTTTGTTTGTTTGTCTGTTTGTCTGTTTGTTTGTCTGGCTAAAGATGAGAAAATTTACAAATATTTATTCCATCCTTACCTCTCCTGCCAGATATGAGAACACCGACTGTTTAACAATAAGATATGGTATGTAAAATATTTAGAACACTCCAATGTATTTAGAATGCTCAAATAAACCTCAAGTGTTTTGATGATCCATAATAGTGAGAGTAGCCGTAGTATCATTACCATCACCATGCTTGGGGAAATCCCCAGACTCACCTCACCCACGCTCTTCATAGAGCTACCGATCTTACTGGAGGCACCTGGAAATCTGTCCAGGTCCCAGCGGGGCACCTTAGTTACTATGTAGTCCAGGCTAGGTTCAAAACAGGCAGTGGTCTTTCCTGATACCACATTTTCAATTTCTGGTAAGGGAATCCCAAGGGCTATTTTGGCAGCAATAAATGCTAACGGGTACCTGTCATCAACGACAAAAGGAAACATTAAGAAATGTGTTGTGATACCTCACAGAAACATCTTTAATTTTCAGGAAAGCTTAGTTAAAGGCACACTGCATGATAAAGTAAATCATTCTTTAGCATAGAAACAAATACAAAACTCTATTTCTGGCCTCATCATGTGTATTTACTGCCTGGTTTCTCGTATTTCGTCAGGCTACACATTACCAGATTGGCCTCTTTATCACTTAGGATTGTGAAGTAAAAATTCATGTGGTCCTGTTGAGTACAGATGATTCTACTCTGGTAATATCTGATAAATGGTGTCAAGATCCAGACACAAAGAAGCACTAACTATATTTCTACAGGAATATATGAACTGAATATAATAATAAAATGACGGCTGAAATTCTGTCACACAGCTTTGCACATGTAACAATTATGACATCATCATCAGTAGCAAATTGCTGCTAATTTGAGACTTCCTATGGCAATTTCAGGGTGCTCACAATTTCATTACATTGTATACAAGTCATATGCACCCTGGAATCATATGTTTGTTCTGATTAGCACCAATTTGCCCCTGCTGATAACATCATCCTGTTACAGAATTTTATATTCTTACAAGTCTAACATACAGTTCTCTATCTTTCTTAAAATAGATGCCTGCATATGCTAAAAGGCCTGCTATATTCTGTAGTTCTAAGTATCCCCTGACTCCTGGTTGATCTTAGTTCTTGAAATGAGTGAATTAGTCAGTAAACAAGGCACAAAGACGAGCTGATCTACATGGAAACCAATTCCCATTATCAAGAAATGTCCAGGAGGACAGGAAGGAGTCTCAAAACAAAGGACACGCTGGTGAGGTAAGGACAGCGGGCATTCCAAAGGCAAGGCTTGGACTAGAGGGCATAATGAGAACATATACTGTAGAGGGGAAAGGAACATAATGTAATGTAAACGTTGAGACAATCTTAAGATGACTTATTTAGCCTTGGTGATGGACAGAACACACACAAAGGATTTTGAACCAATCAGGCACATCTTCACAAATATAACCTAGGAATAAACAGTTTGCCCATTATGATTGATATTTTGCTTACAATAATTTATTTGCTTAATACTACATAATTAACAGCCTTTATAAGCTCCCGAAAACTAGGCACAGGGAGTCAGATTGATTTGGGTTCTGTACCTCATCTGTCTCCTATCTGCCTGTTAATTTAAATAAATCAGATTTTTATAATTTTTTTTCTACTCTGTGTGTGCCTTTCTCTCTCTTTCAGTAAGGTTTCTTTCCGGTAGGAACTATCAGAGGACAACAAACTTCAAAATTTATGCAACCATCCCTGTTGGAGGTGTGCAACAGGATTTCAGTTTATATTTTCAAAATAACATAGTAAGTAGTAACATAATTACTTTAGGGTACAATGGGATTTGGAGAATTTTTGCCCATTTTTCTATTGTTATATGAATTTCTGTTTAATGTCAAAGCAACATTTTAACACCTACTACTGCTACCAAATGGACTTTCTTAAAGCAAGGGTTAAGAACTGACTTTGAAAACAAATTAACCACGAACTCCCAGCACATCAAATTGTTCCCAGCTTTGCTCTTTGGCCTGAGTATAAGCTAAACATGGAGCAACTTTGATGATTCTGGGAGTACACATCACCCTTCAGGGAATTGATCCACTGCAATCAAATTCATCCGAGGAAGCTAGACTCTCTAGAGCTAAGTGTTTCAGAAGTATCCAATTCTTAGTTACAGCTCTGACTAAAGCCATGTGAGACAAACGTAAGGAATCACCTACAGTAACTTCTTTTCTTCCAGTGCCCCGGACAGTTGGGTGCGCCATTCCCTTGAACCTCGAAAAGTCCCCTTTGGGAATGGTCCATTGACACTGAGCTGCAATCAACATCTAGGACTGTGCATTCCTTCTTGATTTTGTGGTTGTTGATATTATCATTCAGAATAAACACCTTTAGCATCTCCCTCCTCCAGCATAAAACCCTTTTATTTAGCTCCATGGTGACAGAATACCTCCAGCTAACACTTTTTACCTGGAGTCAGGGATTTCTACAAAGAAATTATTCTACTAATTTCTTTGCAGCCGCATGGTCTTTGAAACAAAGCTGGTCACTGAGCCTTCTAAAATGCTGTGGAAGTTACTGATTGGTTTTATATGAACACCAATTTGAGTATAAAAGGTGGCTGGACAATCTTCGGGCTAACTCTGAAGCACAGTTGATCTAAAATTCTCGTGGTCAAATCACAACTTAGAAAAGTTACTTTTTGGGACTACAATTGCCAGACAGTATGTTTACTGCCAATATTAACTAGAGAGGGCTGTTCTAGGAATTGTAGGCTTTACAAAAAGAAATTCTTCTGAGCTATGGGTCACAACCATCATTTCCTATGAACAAGCCTTCTCATCTCTGGTCTGACAATTGGGGGCAAGGATCAGAGGGCAGGTGGCTCCATTTGGCTCTGAGATCTCCAACTGCTTATCCTCCTGTAACAGAATGACTGAGGAGGATAAGCTCACAACCACTCTTCTGGCATAATCAAAAATATGCACTGAGAGTAGTGAAGGGAGAGCTTGGTCTTCTCCCAGGTTCTGCTCCTCTCCTACTTAAGGTTGGACATCATCATGGTTCTTCTGATTTTGAACGCAATAGTGGCCAAACCAGTTGTCCATGTTCTTCAACCAAGAAGCTCTTCTCCCAATACTTCTTTTTCCACTTATTTAACCCTTGAACAACCAACTATAACAATATGTACTTCATTTCTCATTATCTGGCCAGAATTTTTTAGCCTTCTGCCTTGTGAGTATTCTGCAATATGTTGGCCTTTATTCTTTTGCTTTAATACTTCATAACTGGTCCCCTTCTTGAACCAAAAACAACAACGACAACAATTTAGCATCATGTGATAAAGTCACAATTCACCTATACAACCTTGAAATTCCCTGTAATCATATACAGTCGTGCCTCGCTTAACGATTACCCTGCATTAAGACGAATCTGCTTCACGACAATGTTTTTGCAATCGCAATTGTGATTGCAAAATGATATTTTAAATGGGGGAATTTTGCTGCGTGATGATCGGTTCCCTGTTTTGGGAACCGATTCTTCACATAACGACGATCAAAACAGCTGATCGTCGGGTTTTCAGAATGGCTGCCGGGTGCTCAAAATGGCTCCCCACTGTGCTTAGGGATGGATTCCTCACTATACAGACACTGAAAATGGCCACTGTATGATCTTTGCTGGATGGTGAGTTTTTAGCCCATTGGAACGCATTAACCGGGTTTTAATGCATTTCAATGGGTTTTTTATTTTTGCTTTACAACGTTTTCATTCTACAGTGATTTTGCTGGAATGAATTAACATCGTTAAGTGAGGCACCACTGTATAGAGAACTACGCCACCTCAAACTCTTAAGAGTCACTTGGGACAGACTATGGACCGGAGGCTTTCTGTTTATAAAGACTTGTTATGCGATAGATTCTTCCTGATCAGAAGATGGTCCAGTTTTACATTTTTTAATTCTGTGCAAATTATTGATAGAAAGCATACAGGGATTAAAGTACAGTGCAGGACTTCTAAAAATAATGTATTTTTCCTTAAAACCAGTAGAACCCTGATATGGAGGTAAGTAAATGAAGGAATAACATGCCTTCATTTCAGAGATGATTCCTAGTCTATATAAAAGATAAAAACCAGAAACCCTTCAGATTCTGTAGTTTATCAATTGGTGTTACTACTACTACTGAGTGGGAAGGTTTACATTGAGTTTGCAAGAGATTTGGATTAGAGATGGGCAGAAGGAATCAAAGGCAACTAGCACTACTATGTTTTTCAAGTTAGGGGAGGACTCCTAAATAATTATGAGATCTATGACAACATGTAGATGCTGGAGGTATACTCTGAAAAAGCTTTTGAACTTATTTAACCCAGTAACTTTTTATATATCCAAATGCTCTCCTTGCAGCACATATTCCAGTTCTGTTCCTCTCCAAGTGTCCTTTCATATCTTACCCTGTGGCCTTTGATGCCAAGGCAGAACTTCTAGAGAGCCTCGCATTAACTTCAATGATGCAGTACTCCAGAGAAGTAGGGTTTAAGGCATACTGGATGTTACACTCTCCTATAATGTTCAAGTGGCGGACAACCTTGATGGTTGATTCCCGTAGCATCTGCAGCTCTTCATTTGAAAGTGTTTGACTGGGAGCCACTACAATGGAATCTCCTTTTTTGGGAGGTAAAAATATATATATAAAAATATCAGATAGGTGGCAATGCTGAGAAATAACCCAGTACAATTGCGAAAAGTATTGATTGCATGAAAGGCACTAGATATACTTCAAAATCATCCTCAAATGTATTATATAATTAGATAAAGAGCTCAATTCCATTCATATTCACTTAAGAGGTACACCTTAAGAAGGTTAAATGAGAATTACTCCCAACTGAATGTGGTTAATGTTGCAAACCATATTATTTCTTATATAATATACCTAAATATTATCTAAGCAGATTATAAAACATTACTAAATAATAAATTACTTTAGCATCGTTTGTTGCAGTCAGAATAGGCCCTTTTGAATCAATGGAACGTATTGAGGAGTTATTAAATCTTCATTGATTCAATGGGTCTACTCTAGGGTGATTTACTGCGCTAAGCAACAGGATTTGGGCCAATATTTTTGTACATTTTCAGCAATAAAATACTACATATTACAAGAACACAGTTGCCTTGAGGTCACTCAATGAAAAGTGCCATATAAATCTCATACTTAAGTACACTCACTGAAGGAAACGTACCTGTATGCACTCCCATTGCATCCACATTTTCCATATTGCAGACAGTGATACAATTGTCAGCTGCATCTCTCACAACTTCATACTCAATTTCCTTCCATCCTACTACTGACTTCTCCACAAGAATTTGTTTGGTCATTGCAAATGCCTTGAGGGTCAAGGAGAAGAGAACAAAAGGGGACTTCCATTAGGCATAAATGCTGGAGGACAGATAGACACTGGCATTTGGCTTGGATGGAAACAGATCCTGCCAAGTGTACTCTTACTGAGTAAAGAAACAAGCAGGAGTAACTGGGCTGAATGCAAAAGCAGACACAACCTGTTCATAAGATGCCAGAATTCTCCAGAATATTAGTATCCAAACAGGGCTTATATGTCTGTGAAAGTGATTCAACAAGTACTACTTGGCAGTCCATTAGGAAGACACAGATCCCTCCAAACAGGGTTTTAACTGGCACCATTGGCCATTCTTAATGGTCAGACTGAGGAAAAATTCATATTAATTGTGTGACTTGTTTTCTGAGAAATCAATCACTCTTAAGACTGAGGAAAAATTCATATGAATTGTGTGACTTGTTTTCTGAGAAATCAAAAGAGACCGTCCTTCTCTTTCCCATCATTTACTGACATTTCTTTGCATTACTAATGGAATTATGTCAGTTTTAGATGGTTTTATTTACTAAAAATGTTCCCCTATGATTTAGACCTGTTCCTCAGAAGAAGCAGGCTAACAATCACAATACCTGCCTAATTAAAAAGGATTGTTGCTTGGTGTCTGGAACATAACAGCTCAACAATTGTTAGAATATACCAGAACATGGATTTACAAAGCCTTTGGTTCTGTTTCCAGGATAAGCTTTTAAAGTCTGTAAACTTTATAAGGAGATAAACTCTAACTATTGAGGATACCACCTACTGCTTAATATTAATTGGACAACTTCTTGCTAATTTAGATAATAATGTCATAGGAATGAGGCCCTGCTACAAACCCAGATGCCAGCTTTATTCTGCTCCCACATCTATTTGGGCAACACTATTACTGGACCTAACAATGTTACACACAATATCAAAAGTACCTTTACCTGTTCCTCTACCAATGTTATTTGTGCCACCTTTTGCCAACAATGGCCATGTGCACTCTACATAGGAAAACATGGGACAATCTCTACACAAACAAATTAATGGACATAATTCAGATATCAGGAATGGCAACACACATCATTTTAATTTACCAGAACATCCCACAGACGATTTGAAAGTGGCCATTCTAGAAAAAAGGTACTACAGGAAAGAATCTAGAGAGAAACAGCTGAGCTAAACTATATATGCATGTTAGACACACACATCAATGAACTTAATATAAGCCAAGGTTTTTAGGGCGCTACCAGATATAAATATTGTACTGTACTGCATCTCCCAGATAGCTCTCTCCCCTTAACAGATTCATATTAGAAACTCCAAAGGTAAAACAGATTATTTATTCTGCCCTTGTGGTCACCCATTGCCCAGTATAATAAACACACTATTGCAACTGATTTCAAAGGAAGGCTTGTGGAGGGGGGAGTCATCAAGGACTGTAAATAGCCAATCTAATTAACATGCATGTTACTCTACCATTGTCATTTTATGACAGATATTCTTAAATTCTTTACAGCACAAGCTTTAATGAAAGACCTGCATATGAAAGATGCTTTCACCACAATGTTTAACACCCATTGACTTTCTTACCAACCAACCACAATCTCTGTATTGGATATCTTTATTCAGATACCATGTATAAATATTTCCCATGTTAAATCTCTTTCTCTTACATTATGTCTAATGAAGTAGATTTATTCACAAAAGCTCACATTAAAAATATATAAGTTAGTCTTTAAGGTGCCACCACATTTTTATCTTTCTTTTTTAAAACTTTTCATTTTTATTTTGCATTTACTTTAGAAGGAAAGATAGCCCTTTTGCTTTCTTTTGTAGAAGTCTGTGTACAGCAGACACATTTTGGAATTAATTTAGTGGTTTGTTTTACTGACAAATGAATGTGTGACTGTGTTTCTCCTTTATCCCAACTGTAATTGTATTCTGACTTATGGTTTAAACAAAGCAACCTACTACTCTGCTATAATTACCAAGGATATATTAGTCATCATTTGCTACCTCATTTCCTTCTTTCTAATTAATCTGCAAGGATAACTGAGGAAAATGATAAAGATATAGAGAAATGAGCAATTTCATTCCCTCACAATGTTGGGTCCTCAGTTTAGATCTTTACTCCCCCTAGGACCCATGGCTTGATAGAATATGGGTTTAAGGAAGAATATAACAGCTGTCCATTAAAGTGGTAATTGTCCATCTGTCCACAAGAGTACTAGCGACTTTAGTGATGTGAAATCAATATACACAAAGCTAAAAAGCTTTTGAGTTTATTTAATCGGCAAATGGGCATTAAGCCAACTGCACTGAATTTTGTTTAACTCAGCCTCAGCACAGCTCTTTATTTCAGTGCTAACTTTAGAAATCCAATAATGTTTCCCACAGTTAAAATTTGCCTCAAGTTCACTGTTGCATGATATTGTGACATCTATTAAGGGAGGATAAATATCAGGAAGATAAGTCTATCAGTAACAATGATCTACAAAAGCTAAATGAAACTCCATGTTCAGGGGCAGTATACCTTTGAAGCTGGCTGGCTAAATAATTTAGTGAGTTTGGTATCTGAGGTTGGGATTTTGATTCCCCACTCTGCATCCTAGAAGAAAAGCCAGCATGTGCGTCCTTGGGCAAGCTGCACAGTCCTACAGTGTGCCCCACAAATGGTAAGCCACCTCCGAATACTCCTTAGCTATAAATCCCTAGACAGGGTCAGCATAAATCAGAATTTTCAAAGAGAAAAATCTGGCCATTTCCCCATTTATCAGATCAGGATTTAGGACATAAAAATTTAGATGATAAGTACAAAAAGAAGGAAAGACATCACCTTTCTGCCCTGTTGATCTTCCCAGAGGCACCCCTTCTCCTCTAAACAGGTACATTGCCTAAACTGTTTCACCCAGCAGGATGGTCAACATGCAAAGAGGATAGCTGAGTCCTTGAATGGGGTATGATCCAAGGTGGGAGAAGGCTTGTATGTATATGAATAATGTAAACACATGCATGGGACTGTCATCTCCACAAAAATGACACAGAAAGTAGTTTTAAGGAGAAACAGAGCTATACGAAATTCCACTTCAGCTCTGCCCCTACTGGGTACTGCTCCATAAATTGGCATGGGTGGGGGTTGGCCCCTACAGGCCTTTATTTTCCCCAGGCATGGGCATTAGCCATTTAACAAGCTAGGGATCATTTCTGGAGACACTTTGTACAACTGACTGGAAATATCTAATCACTGCTCAGTACAAAGGAAACATCAGAATGCATCTTTCTTGGGATCCTATTGGCCCTGTCCAAAAATCACAGAAGATACGTTTTTGTGTGTGTGTGTGTGTTTGTCTGTCTGTCTGTCTGTCTGTCTGTCTGTCTGTGTCTGTGTCTGTGTCTTTTGCCTTGTTCTTGGTACATTTCTATCTTTTAGCCCAGTTCAAGAGAGGTCTATGTGACATTTCCCCTCCTGATTTCTTTCAGATGGGGAAGAGAATATAGGACATTATGTTTCATTTTGACCCAAATTGCCAAACCATTTCCTCGAATGAAGAGTAATTTTTGACAGAATTTCCCCGCAATACACAATGCCACTTTAATCATTCACATTATCCAATTCAGCAGCAAGCAGTATGAAGGTAGAGCATTGAAAAGCTTCAAGATATTCTATTCTTTCTTTTCCTTTCTTTTTTTAAAAAAGGTGCAGTCTTTGTGTGCTATAGCTTTGTAGCTTTGCCCATCTTGTGTGTGTGTGCGTTTTTAATCAGCAGTTTGGTTATTGGGTGGTTTCTAGTGACTCAGATAATAGACATCCCATCCTTTCCTTGCTGGATCTAGCAGGAAAATACATGCATTTACAAATATCACATTTTCATAATGTTCATACTCATATAAAGTAGGTGGGGCATACTCTGTTGCCTTTCCATGCACAATTACATCATTATTCTGAAGTGCTTAAAGGAAGTAAGACAAAGGATGAGTAGAGTCAGTGCCTTTTCAATGATACACCTAAAGATGTTCTATCAATATCAACTTTAATTTCTTTTTGGATCCAGGAGAAAGCTTTTTAAGTCATCTAGATTTTTCAACACTTACAATGGAGTTAAATAGCTTTTCAAAGATTTTGGCTGTGATATTGTTTCCCACTGTAATCAACTTGTTGCATGTCATTGATTATTGAATTTTTAAAATTATTATTGCACATGTTTTTCACAAGCCACTCTAGGAGACTTGGCTGAAGAACAAAGTACAAACATATAAATATGGATGTACAGTATTGGACAGAACAACAAACTACATTGCTGGCAGTTCCTTAAGAAGCAAGAAATAACCGAGAGCTGTGATTTAGAATGCTATTTCAAAACAGTGAGTAATGTGCTTTCCTCTTTCACTTCCAAAAGGAATCAGAAGGATGTTTCTGATTTTATTGGTCCCAGTCCAGCCATAGACAGGATCCAGATTCCAGATTAAAAAGGAGGACATTTGTCTTGCATTGGCCTCTGGATTCCAGGTCATGAACGAGAGAATAAGCAGTGATTGATATCATCACTATCAACTGTTACACTAGTAGCCATGTAAGCTGTGCTGGCCTCTGGATTCCAGGTCATGAGCAAGAGAATAAGCAGTGATTGATATCATCACCACTGTTACACTAGTAGCCATGTAAGCTGTGGCTCAGTCAGGCTGAAGCATAGCCAGAGATGTGAAATGTTTGCTTTTTGGACTAAAATTCCCAGAATCCATAGACAGCATGGTGCAGGCCAGAGCAGATGCAGGTGGTGGCATTCAGGAGTTGTGATTGAAAAAACTCCAACATTTCCAATTTCTAGTCATGGCCCATTAGCAGGAGCACTGGGGTACTAAGGATGGCAGAGTGACCCCTCCCACCAGGAACCATTGAGGCAAAAGTTTCCACTGAGGGGAAAGACTCAAAGGAACCATGAAATCTCGGCTGCTTGCCACTGAAGAGTCTTTCTTCCTCACATCCTCAAACATGGATGACATATCTCCGTTGTTCTCTCAACTTGTTCTCAGTTGATCCCTCAACAAAGAAGAGAGACATGAAGTTGTAGAGAGGGGAGAAATCTCCTCATAATCTAATTATTTTGGTTGTGGGGGGGGCTGGATTTATTTATTTTTTTGTCTTTATTTGCTTGGTTATTTTTCTTGGGCTTTGGGAGACTGGATTATGTGTGTTTTAATTTGCTATTTCTTTTCTCTGTTCATGGGGGGGGTATTTCCCTGACTGATCTTTTAGAATTGTTATTTGGTTAATTTACTTATATTTATTTTGTTTAAGGTGTGGGCTTTGGGGGGACTGTTTTGTTCAGTGGTGTTGGTTGGTTGATTCTAACATTGCCTACTTTTGGAGCAAAATGATTCTCTGCTACTTTGCCTCTCGGGTTTTTTTTTGTAGTGGGGGGAGTGGTTTACTGGTTCTTTTAGATTTTATGTATTTATTTAATGTGGAGAAATGAAATAATATGAGGGAAATGACCCAAAAGAGGGTTGGGTGGGCTTGGTTTTTTGTTTTGTTTTGTTTTTGGTAAAATAAAATAAAATAAAAAGGGCCAGTGCACAAAAACACACAAAAAAAGAGACACACTCCTAAAGGAACATGAAACAAAACAAAAATTTATGGTTTTGTCCTCCAGAACCCTAGTAATATGCTCTGTGGCTAAAGCCTACTGGGTAAATTAATCTTATCTATAGCTCCCCCTGTACTCTGACCACGGTGATGAAACTGGACACCTCCTGCATGCTCATCAATGTCTGCCTCCTTGCCAGCTGAACCCACCTCCCAATTTCCCCTTGGTTTTTCTCATCTGAATTCCAGAACTGGCATGCAGAGCAGCTATGATCATACCTTAGTGCCAAGATCCAGCAGCTGATCCTTGTCAAGACATAAACCCGATCCTAGTCCACCCAAAGCATAAGCAGAACGTATTATGACTGGGTAACCAATTTTTTCTGCTGCTTCCAAAGCATCTTCTATCTATAACAGTTCAAGAACAAATGCAAGGGATTAAAAAAACAGTATGACAAAGATGAAGACTGTGGACATTTCCAAATCAATTTGTACCTAAAACCTTTGAGTAACTTTCAGTTGCAATGCAATATATGACACCTATGGATGTTGACCAGGCTTGTATTTCTTGCTGTCAGATGTTGGTTACATACAAGGTTGGTTGAACTGTCATGACGACTTCCCAGAAAGATTCCTCAGAATTCTTATTTGTTCAGGAGGATGGTGGTAAGCTTTATCAAAAAAAAAATTTATCCCCCCACAAATACCACAACATGTGTCACAGAACCAGAATGCTCAAGTTTCACTAGAGAATACCTCTAGCTAGAGGATTAGTAAATATAATATTTTCTAGAGAAATAGTAAATGTAATAATTATATTAAATATAATATTCTCCATCTTGTTGTTACATGTCATCAAGTCAGAACCAACATATAGAGAGTCTAACCAGGCTTTCAAGGTAAATGAGATATTTAAGGAATGGTTTTACCAATTCCACACCCCCAGTGAGTTTCCATCGTTGAGAGGGAATCTGAATTCAGCCCTCCTGAGTCTTAGTTCATCACTTTATCCTCATACCACACTGGTTTCAAAATATTCTCTAGAGATATAGTAAATATAATAGTTTCTCTAGAGAATATCTATTAAGTACTTATAATAATTATGTGTCATCAAGCCAATTCTGACTTAGGGTGACCCTCTTCTGTGATTTCCAGGAAGAGAAAACTAAAGTGGTTTACCATTCCCTTCTTCTGTGGCCACCCTGGGACTGTGCAGCTTGACCAAGGCCACACAGCTACTATTTAAGTAACCCTTGTAATTTATTTATAGCAAATATTTGCACCAACTCCTGGATATCTGCTTTTGCAAAACTTTTCCTTTGCACAATTTCAGAGCTCTGCTAAAAAGAAGGCAGAAGGGGACAATATGCAATTCCAATATATTTGTCAGTAAATTAACAGCATCAGAATAAAAATGGGAGGTTACTACAACATACAGCCATGTTCAAAATTCTAATTCCTCTTTGTATGGGCTATTAAGATTGGGGACCATGATATGTACAGTCTAAACCCCTGGTTTCTCATTATAATATGAGCACTAGTTGTTGTTGAACAAGAACACTGCTATACTGGGCCATTTAGCTATCTCATGTATAAGGCTGCTAGGGAATAAAATTATTTTAGCTGTACTGTATATTCTCAGTCTCTGTGTTGAAAGGTTCACCCAGGTCCTGAATATTCATATGCTATTTGCATAGACCACGTATATTCTCAGTCTCTTTGTTGAAAGGTGTGGCGTTCACCCAGGTCCTAAATATTCATATGCTATTTGCATAGACCAATGGGAGTGCTGGAGGGGCGGAATCATGAGTTATAAGAGACTCAGTAGGAGTAGATAGGCATAGATATGGCTTTGAGATGGAGAATTAAAGTGTTACAGAGTTGAGAGAGTTCTGACATTTGGGCCGGAGAATAGTGGTTGAGGGTGGATAAAGAAGAATGTTTGTTTAAGAGTTAACAACATTGCTTGTTCTGTCAACACTTGTATCAATAAACCATTTTTATTTGGTTCTTTTAACATGACATATGACCTGGACATCTATCATTCATAATAGGTATTCACGACATATGGCCTGGACATCTATCATTTATAATAGGTATTACTGATGAAATCAACTGGTGGCAGCTGAGGGGCACATAGCGTGAGCTCCTAGTTTGGTGAAATAATCAGGGGCCTCGTGGAATCATGACAAAAGGTAAATATACTGTATTGTGTAATAATCTGGTGTGGTGCATTCATGTTAATTTTGTTAACTGCACAAAAGGTAAAAATATTGTGTAATAATCTGGTGTGGTGGAGGTGTCAATTCTGCATTCATGTTAATTTTGTTAACTGCACAGCTGACATTTCAAACATCCATTAAACACGTAATCTATAGATTTTATTATTAATACTATTAGTTCAGAAATTTTAGTCTGTGAATTACAATGGGCTAAAAGATATTCCAGCTCTACAGTTTATGTAAGACCATTTAAATATTTTTAAAAAGAGGAATTTGAATTGACTTTTTCAATCCACTCACCCCTCTCTTTGTTGATCTACACAAGTTCAGCTTACTTACAGAATCCACAGCAAAGCTGGGAGCAACGTGCTCATTGATTTCGGTCAGTTTGTCCAGAAACATTTGCCTGTCCTCCGTGGCCATGATGGCTTCAACTGATGTTCCAAGGACTTTAACTCCATGTTCCTGCAGAATGCCACGTTTGAACAGCTCTACTCCTGTACAGAGCATGAAGTACACATCACAACTGTAATAGATTATCACATAGTTTTCTAAGGCCCAGTTCATACGCTTACTGGGCCAATTATCCTTTGAGCATGATGGAAATGTGGGTGTGTGCCCATCCTTACACATATCATATCAGGTGGAATCCAATATTCACAAAAAAATAAGATACATGAATCCTCCTCTCCAAACTGTGCAACTGGACCTTGTGATTATGGACCTTCACACAAAATGTCTGCCACATACATTGTAGTATGTCAACTACAGCTTTATGTAAACAACATATATTTTAGACACCAGCCACCCAGAATCTTCTGGCCAGCACTGTGACTATAAAGTATTCCAAGCCCAGATATAAACATGAAGGGTAAAAGGGAACAACATCATTGGTTTTGCTCCTCCACCAATCCAGCCCATGTATGTACAAGGTCTAAGATATTTTAGGTTTAAGAATATAATAGATTCCCCAAAAGTGGAGCTGTTCTGCCAGGTAAAGTACCTATTAATTATCAAAGCCATTAACTGGTCATCAATTAATTTGTTTATTGCTAACAGTACTGATTTCCACAACCTTTGCACTCCATCTATGTTACAACTCTGACCATCTTTAACTACTATGGCCAGCCTCATGGCTGACAAGAAATTATGAAAGGCGAAGTCCAAACCATGTGGAAGCCATGTTATTGGTATGGTGAAAATGAAATGATTTGATACAATGTGTTTTTTAAAATATGTAAATATTCTATTTTGTCTCAGTATCATAGTGATGGTATAACTATTTCTAAGCATTCTAAGGAGTTAAAAATGTAAGACAATCGAAATGCACTTTTGCCTGTTGTCAAAAGAATTAAACAACTGACTGTATATTGCAATTAGAAGATGCTCAGGCAAAAAGTCTGATAAAGCTCCAGACAGTTTTTCTTCTAAAGCAAGGGAACTGGCCAGTAAGATTACAGGAACTGCTGGTTTAAATGTTTGGAATTTCAGTCTTGTACCATAGTGTAGTAGCTACTGTGTGGTTTAAAAGGGCTAAAGAGCTATGAAAAGACCACTCCCACCTAGTGTGGCTTGCAAGTTTCCTCTCTGTAGGATAACATCTCCACAACATAATTATGTGCAGAGTCACATACCTGGTTGTGCAACCAAGTGACATTATCTGTAGCTGAGATGTGTGCTTACATATAGGCACAAGAGAATGGGAGAGGGAGAACACTAGTGTGGGAAAGGTGGTAATGTGTATCTCATAGGGACCTTACCATTGTATTTTACCTCATGCAGAATTCTGTGTATCTTTAAGCTGTATATTTTTTATCAATAAAACCCAATCAAAGAGAACACCATGGTTGATTTCAGAGTGACAGTTGTCTGCATATTATTATATAGGTGACCTGAGAGAGTGGCCTCAAGTCACATGAGGGAGGCAATCATTTTGTACTTTATGTTGTAGGAAAAAGGAAAAACTTTCCCAAAGCAACTTACCACAGTTAAGAGCAGTCTGCCCGCCCATGCCAAGAATGATCCCATCTGGTCGTTCTGCTTTGATGACCTCTGTCACGAAATGTGGCGTAATTGGGAGGAAGTACACCGTATCAGCCTGTTTTGGGCCAACCTCATTGGTCTGAACAGAGGCAATGTTGGGATTCATCAGGATAGTTTTTACATTTTCTTCCTGAAAAAGATCAGCACCACAAGACCTTCATTAAATATAATCTATGGCAATGAAATATAAGTGATGTAGGAAATCATACAGCTGCCATTTTCATTTCTATAACGTCAGGGTGCAGACAGCAGATGCAAATTGCCTCCTGTTTCTACCCTAAAATCCCAGTTTGTAGTTCAAGAACACCTGGAGGCCCAAGATTGGGGACCAATAATGTAGGGAATCATACAGCTGCCATTTTCATTTCTATAACGTCAGGGTGCAGACAGCAGATGCAAATTGCCTCCTGTTTCTACCCTAAAATCCCAGTGAGACCATGAGTTGTTGTGAGAAGTACACATGCGCAGGAGGGGTGCGTTTTACGCTCTCGATCTCCGCGGCGTCTTTTGCTCTCCTGGCCCTGGAGGAGGTAAGCAACCTGGGCCACGTGACTTTTGGCGCGGGTGGCAGTGATATAAGGAAGAGCCGGCCCGTTGTTTGCCCTCTTTCACTTTTGGCACCCACCTGCCCACCCTCATTCTAGTGTGTTTTTGGGGTCGCCTTTTTCTGGGCTGGATAGGAATTTTTGACCTCTATCCTGATTAGCTTTTGGATGGGGGGATTTTTCGCCTATCCCACACTGGAAAAGGGTTTGTTGGCATTTAAGGGTGGTTTATAACCGGTCACACTGGCAGGTAGCGCGGGAATAACTGGTTGTCACAGTGTGTCCCTTTTGTAATTATCATAAAGCCAACAGCGCATCGGTCCTGACGGCTCTGCGGATCATGCGATTACAGGGCCGAAGGCGGCTGATGCGCTGGACCACTTGCGGACCAAAAGTCATCAAATACGATGGCTAGACATCCGGGGTGTTTAATTGAGGCCTGACAGGTTCCTCCGGTCGTTAGACAGCTGGAACCTGGGGCCTGGGACTCGCCCATTGACTGATAAGGAATTATTTGGCGTTATTTCCCCGCACTACTGCAGGCCCCCTCAAATTTGGAATTGGTTTATTTGGTGGAATTTGAATTGGTTTTAATAAAGTGTGGCCCAGATTTAAAGTCCAAAGAATTGTTGTCTTGCATCTTCATTTCAGGGCTTGGGGGAGCAAAGAAGTTTTGAGAAATGTGACAGCAAACAAGCTGGAGTAAAATCCTGACAAGACAGAAGCCCTGTCCACTGATTTGGAGGGAGATTTCCAAGTGTGTCTTGGATTTGGTTGCACTCCTTTTGAAGAATGAGATGCACAGTCTAAGGATGTTCTGAGACTCAGCGCTCTTGACAGAGTCACCAGTGGCATGAACAGCCACAAAAGCTTTGTTTACCAGCTTTGGCTGGTTCACCAGCTGTAGCATTATCTGATGAAAACTGATGTTGCCTCTGTAATTTTAGTTACTTCCATTCTGGATTATTGCAATGTGCTCTGCACAGGTCTACTTTTGAAGATGGTTCAGACACATCAACTGATACAGAATGTGGCAGCAAAGTTGCTTATGGGAACTCGGCAAAAGGCATATGTTTCACCTGTTCTGTATGTATTACATTGGAAACCTATTTATTTCTCAGTCCAATTTAAGAGTATTAGTTTTAGCTACTAAAGCAGTGGTTCCCAGCATATTAGTGGATTAAAACTCCGCAAAACCTTCATCACTAGCTGTGATGGCCAGGATTTCTGGGAGTTGCAATCTAAAGGGCTACACTTGGACAGCAAGGATCCTTGTGTAAAGGATCCTTGCTTTACACAACTGATGAAATCCAGCAAGGAAAGAGCAGCCAATTGGACCACAGAAGTTTAAAATGTCTGTTTATGAGAGAGAGTGGCCTTTAGGTCACTTGAGGGAAGCAACAGTAGGATTAGTTCCTAACAAGTCCTCCTTGAATCTGGAAAATCTGAATAATTATAAGTCAACTCTTCAGAACTCTTTCTTGGATGAGGTCTTTGAAAAAACTGAAGTGCTGAGACAATGAGACTCATGTTCTGGTGCTGAATTATTTGACCAGTAGTGGTCAACTGTATCCTCCATGCTGTGGTGGATAATCAGTAGCACCTCCCAAGGCTGTGTTATATCAGCCAGTCCCTTTCAAAGTGTAGGAAGTCAAAGCAGGCTAAGGGTCAAGCCATCACTTCAGTCTGACAGATCCTTCACCTTCACAACAGGGAGCAGGCAGCGGCACAGCCATCACTGGTCCATTCATTAGAGGTTTCAGAAATCATGACAGCATGGATGAGAAGTGACCCTCCATGTTGTCACCCACACACACTCTGCTGACAGCATACTAAGAAATTTATAGCTCTCAACCAAACCTCCCTGACACCCAGCTGATTCTAATTAGCAAACAGGGAGCTTTAAGACAGTGGGCTTCTTTCAGAGCTAATCTCGTCAACATTCATCTTTCCTTTAGACTAATGGGCATCACATCTGTCATGCCTTCTTCATCCTCAGAGACTCTCCTGTCAGCCATTCTACTCCCCAAAGTTTCTAGCAGAACACTGACACTTGGTGTGCTGAATTCCCCTTTTCTACTGGCCTCTTCCAGCTACATCTTGTTTGGAGTGTGCTCTCACGCTCACGGTGATGATATACAACTCTACTTCATCTTTTCCTCTCTGGCAGGTGCAGCACCACACATGCTGAAATGCAGTCTCACCTCAGAAATAGACAGGTTGAGAAACAACCCTGAAGCTCAGTTCTGCTCATAGGTGGTTCCTCTTCCATACCGAGGGTGTTTGCCTTTGTTGGCTGATATTTCTTATGATCACATGGGAACAGACCAACCAGTTCTCCATGAGGTCACACTCACCTTGAAGGAACGGGCACATAGCTCAGGGACCACCATTAGAGTCTCAAGTAAATGCCTTCTGTCAGCTTTGGCTGGTAGCCCTGTCTGAATAGCCCTTAGTACTGTATGGTTTGGTAACTTCTGAGCTAGATTAGTAGAATGAATGGCATACTAAATTTCCATTGGCGGTCATTCAGAAGCTACAGTTAGAGCATAAATCAGTGGCTAGGCAATTGTCTGAGATTAAAACCCTGTGAAAACATACATCTGAACTTGACTCATCTGCAATGGCTACAAAGTTGTATCTGGGCCAAGCTTAAGGGTACCACAGAAGAGTCAATGATCTATTTTTATGATAGAAAACATTCTAAAACAGAAGCTACGGGAAGATATTTAAGTGCTAGCAGACGCTCTTCATTATCAGTGTATCCCCTTGACGTATTTCTTCTTCCTGCTCTTTCCACTGGAATTCTTGAGGATTACTGCTTAGCTCACAGATCTTGTGTACGTTTGGCCACATGATAATTATGGCACTGAGCTGTCTGACAAACCTTGACTTTAAGCTGATTCCCCAATCAACACAATGGGAGGCAAATAATGATGAGAACGGAATACTGAGGTGCACCCACACAGAGTGCCTTAGCTTCACATGCTATTGTAAATCATGCTGCCAGAGGCAAGGTCACCGAGAGCAAGTGTTGCCTCTGGAATGGCTGATGAGCACCCAGATCAAGGCAGGTAGCTGGCAACAAGCGAAGGAAGGTCAAGCTGGAACAATTTACTGGAAAAACATAACTTTTCTTCAAGACAAAAGCAGAAGGCCAGAGAAGCAGAGAACAGGAAAGCCACCTCTCTTAAAAGAAATGTTCTCCTTTAGAGTAACAAGGTGGTCTCTGTATAGAGAAAGAATTGCGTGGTCCTTCCCCCCCCCTTTTTTTTAAAATCTGATATTTTCAAGCAATCTCACAGGCTAATAGTGTTTTTGCGCAGGGTGGGTGAGGTCTATAGCCAGGCTAAAGAGAGACATGATGAATTATTTGACTTATTCCATAGATGTTCTGTGGTCTGTTCTGAGTCAACCAAATGATTGGACATGTTAAAGAAGAATGCTCAGAGAATTTGGTGCTCTTGACACTGTTTTGAGTGATTCATTAAAAGTATTTTTTTCAGACAATGGAAGAAATAATTATGGATAATTATGTCACTTGCTATTATTATTATTATTATTATTATTATTATTATTATTATTATTATTATTATTATTATTATTATTATTATTATTATTATTATTATTTATTGTAATGCTTTTTTTATTCTCTTGTCTTATTT